TAATAATAAACGTAACAAAAATAAACCTAGAGTTGAGGGACACTGCGTTTCTCAAAAGGGAAAGTTTCATTTCTGCTGCCTTCGTAGTTGGGCCTCCGACAGTATTTGTGTTCAAGAGGGCAGTGTGAAAAACGTGTGGCAGGCCCAAGCCGTATTTTTCTTTTACGACGTAGGGGCCGGTTTTCCTATATGCTTTGGAAAAAGACCTCTCTCTTAGTTTGAATCTTGAAGCGAAAAGACGTCCTTCCGTGTCCTAACAATAAAGGATATAATATAAAGATTTAAAGACTGTGAATTTCTTCTCTTTACGAATCCCGTAATCCAATATTAAATGTAATCGGTATGGTTTATTGAAAGCGTGATTAACCCTTTGCACTCGAGGACTTTTTTTCTGGTATCTACTACAGCAACTGGAGATGTTTCTTAGCATTCTATTCCCACGAATTCTAAGCTATCTAGATTTGAGAATTTATCGACACTTCGAGCTCCAAAGAAATTAAACCTAAAGAAACATTAGGTATTGTACATTTGCTGCGTGAAACGCAATCACGCCTCTCGAGTCATCTCTCGAGTGCGAAGGGTTAACTCTTTAAACTCGTGCCATTTTTTTTATAGTAGAAGTAAGAAAACTCTACTTCGAAAAGAAACATCTACGAACATTCATGACTCATATATTATTACTTCGATTAATAATTAGCTGTATTCTGATATAAGTAAAATTGAAATCGTACGTTCGAAAAACCACTTTTAAATTACATGTGTTGCCCTACAGGCGCCACAGGAGTGCAAAGGGTTAAATCAGTGTTAAAAACGATTAAGAATATTTTCTGTGCTCTGGTTTATACCATTTTCAAGTTTGTGATTGTTGGTGAAGATTACACAAAAACATGTGATGTGGAAAGAGTTATAGGATTACAGATACATTTGTTACGAATCTAAAATCAAATTCTTTCGCAGATTAAAAGAGACTAAGATTTTGTTTAAAATTACAGTGTATCGCATGATGTAGATTGAGCTTGAGTGTGTTTAGAAGTTTGTCCAGCGTGATCCTGGTGCTCCTAACAATCCATCGTACCTCCATAAAATTAATTTTTCTTGAACATTATGCGAGCCACTACTTTATAACAGATTTTAGTGTATACTGTACATGATTAGATCGATTTCATATTTATGTCACATATATTCATAATTGCTAGTTGAGATTTTGAAACATTAAATAACATATTACCGCGTATAATAGATATCAAAAATTCTCTACCAGTGTATATTTTCACGACAATTAAGATTACTTGTTACCATCGCTTGTTGACCATTAAAAATATAAACTTTTAAGAAGTTCTTACAACCCCCTGCCAAACAGTCCGCACAATGCAGACATTCTCGCACATGGTGGACTACAAGATCCCAATCGATCTCGAGGTACCTCTCCCAAAAAATTCGGATCGTTAAATCTGAACTCCATTCAGGACCATCATTACCAGCTCCCCCAAGTATGCAATAGCCAGTACACAGAATTTTAAATCGGTTTTAGCGTTGACAAGCTGCGATAGGTATAGTCGTCAAACACAGAGTAACATTGGATCGCAAAGACGGCTGCATGTTAGGTCGTCCAAAAAATTCGTGCCACTTATGCTTCTGGTACTTAAACTAACACTTTATTTACCAGGAGCCTATTTATAGGTTTTTTAATTGCAGTACTTAGTTACTCGAATTTATTTATCGTGTTGATGGTTGTCTACTCACAATGTTTAGTATTTCGTAACAGACTTGGCTTTCAATGTACCTAGTAACAGTATGAAGGAATTATTGCCAGCCTAGATTGGCGTATGCTACTGTAGAAAATTCTTTTTTGAATTAAAGCCTGCTTCTAAATAGCCCGGTAGATAAAGTGTTAATATAGTCAGTGTAATAAGTAGACTGCGGATCTTTATGCATTTATAGGAAATTTGAATGTGCAAGAAACTACAAAATGCAAACAAACAATATGCAAGAATATAAAAAAGATTGAAAGTAAAGTTAATGTTATAATATTTGCAGAATAAAATAAATTCCTATTTAGGTTCAATTTTTGTAGGCAGGTACACGAAGATTTTATTTTGCATAAGGATCCGAAGTCAAGTAATAAGTACTCGTACAGGAACCGTTTATTTTAAATGAGTCGCTGTACGAATACTTCTTACACTGATTGTATGTGAAGCATACTCTTGCAGACAGTGTAGGAAGTATTCGTACAGAAACCAATTCAAAATAAAACTTCATATATTTATTTTATTAATAAATTTTAGGGGAAGTAATAATTAAACAACATTCCTACATATTTTTACAGTAGAATTTGCGTAAATTAAGGTTTATTATTTATGATCTCTTATTTCTTTTCTTATTAATTTTATTTTAAATTGTTTGCTGTACAAATATTCCTTACACTTACTGTAAATAACCAACGGCAGAGATGGGCAAAATCTTTATCTACAGTGGGTGTAGAATGTATTCGTTCACCGATCAATTTCCCGAAAAACTTTTCTGTGAAATTGTAATTTATTAACTTCTTTTTTTATAATCAATGATATTCTACATATTCTCGAAAATCTCTACAATAGACGTAGTCCAAACAACAATTACTAGTTTATATAATTTGCGAAATTAACAAGAAAATACGAAAAATCAGCAGAAATATAAAAGTAATAAGTATTTGTACGGTTCTTATGACGAACCATTTACAGTAGAGTTCGTAACACGAACGCATTAGTTTATTGCTTCGTACGAATTAGAAAACGTCAATTTCTGTTTATTAACTTCTTAAAGAAGTCTTAAAAAATGCTCTAATAGAGAAATGGAAGAAGATCCCACCTCGAATAATATCGACATTTAATTAATTTAATGCAAGTGTTGCAGCAATTATAAAGTCAAAAGAAAATCCCACAAAGAATTGATTATTTATAAATTAATGTGAATTTCGTTTCTTTCATGAAGTTTTAAAAATGTTAATAATTCTACAAATATTTATTGCTTCTATATTTCTATCGATTTATTCTTTTTTCTTGTTAATTTCGCACTTTATATAAATAACTACTTTTTGTTGTACCTTAACTATTTCAGTGATTTCCAAGAATATGTAGAATATCATTGTTTATAAAAAATAAGTTGATAAATTACAATTTCACATAGTTTTTTTTGAAAATTGATTGGTGTACAAATACTTTCTACACCCACTGTAAATAAAAATGTCTAATATCGAATAAAGATGAAATAATAACTTCATTTTTATTCGATGACTGTCGGATAAAAAAAATGTATTCGAAGAAAATGTACACCAACGGTGTTCCGTCCACGTTGGTCCAACGGTAACTAAATTTTACGGACGACGAGTATACTCGTCGCGACCCAAAGTACCGCCTTTTCTCCGCGACGAGTGTATTCGTCGATCGCAGCCGACTGGTTCATTGCCGAAGATGAAGATACCTTTCGAAGTTTCTCCAGGGCGATTCTGACCCCCGGCCCCCGCCCCGCGACTATGTATTACACGTCCGCGGAGAACCGGGCGATGTTCAAACCGAAGATACCGGGTTGCTATTTGAGTAAATTTCCGGGTCAACTTCATATTGGGTTGTTTTCCATCCGCGGCCGGATATTTCAGCCGCGTATAATTTCGAACGTGTGCTCGGGAGCGTGCGCTCGCAGAATCGCGACTGATTGCTGGCTTCGCGATCCTTCCTGCGATTCTCCTTACGCGTGGAAGGAGAGGATCGCGGGCGGTCGTGGTTGTTTGTTTGTTTACGATTCAAGAAGCATAATGAACCCCCGCTGTCTTCCATCGCCTATCTCCGGGGTTCTTCAACGGCCGTACGTTTCTCTATCTCTCTCTCTTATCTCCCTTTATTTTTCGAAAGCACCGAGTAAGTGACTGGGGGAGAATGAGTATCGGAGCGACAGAGACCGAAGGGGGGTGGCGGTGGTGGTGGTGTCGGGGACGAAGGGTGAGACAGAGGTAGGGCAAGAAGAGGGAGCAGAGGGGAACTCCACTTCATCGACCGTGAGTTCCGCGGGGGAGGGGGTTGGGTGGATGAGGGTTGACGGTAGCGGCGAACAGAGCGGAACCGTGTCCGTGGGCATCCCCCACGTGCAGGCTTCCACGTGTGGGTGCTCGAGGGAGGGAGCCAGCGGCGTCGGGGTGAGGGTAGTTTGGGGTGGAGGCTGCAGCAGGACGCCGCCATCTTCCTTGAAAATCGATCCTTCGACCCGACGCCGAGCTCCTTCGCCAGCGTTTCCGTCGCAGCTAACCGTGTTCTTTTTGCGACCCTCTCGCTGCGGGGGTTCCCTGCGAGCCCGCTCACGATCTCCGATTCATTTAAGTTTCATAAACGATTAACGTTGGAAATTATGAAAGCTTCGACCCTGGAATTCGGGGACGGGAGACAGGAAAGGAACTCGTAGAAAGAAACGAGGATCCGGAAAACGAGGAGCCGACACGCTGACGCGCCAGCAGGGCTACCTAGACCGGTATCGTCCAAGAACGAGCGTTACGCGGACGTGGCCAAGTCGCAGAAGTGGAAAAGCGTCGCGACGAAGGCCGTGTCGGCGTGGTGGTATCGTCGAGGTAGCGTCGGCAGCAGCGCCGCTGGTAGCGTCCACCGGGCTTGGACGCCAGTTTCTATCTGACAGGGTATTTTTGTGGGAACCCGGCTACCACCGTTTTTCCTCTCTCGCTCGCACTCCCTCTTCATCCCTTTCGTCTGTTCGCCCGATGCCGACCATCCCCTGGCCTCCCCTCGCGCCTTGTTATCCTGCTGGTTTCCAGGTGACGTCAGCTAGCGACGCCGACCAATCGCGGCGCGGACTGAATTATGGAGCGAGACGGAGAGAGAGAACAACGGCGAGAGACGAGGACCGTCCGATATCCATAAGCGTGTGGGGGGCGAGGGGCGACCAGGGGGCGAGACTGATGCAGGCCGGATTACGCTACCCTGGACTCTGGGCAACGTGCAACCCCTCGACGACGACGACGACGACGACGACGACGACGACGACGACAAAGTACAAGACTTTCCTCTGCGTTATTTTGTTTGGTGGAATCACGAATGTTGTTCTCCTCTCGCGTGGTATATACTTGCCAGACGGGGAAATAAACGCAGTCACGTTGGGGGAGCAAAAAAGCCCACGGGATCTATTCGGGAACGGTAACGTCTCGGATATTGATAAAATTTGTTGCTCGGATTCGGGATCGGGAGCCATTTGTGAATACCGAATGCTTTGAACGGGTTCTTTCGATGGTGGATCTGGTCTGTGCTGAAGGGATGATTAACCCTTTGCGCTCGAGAGGTGACTCTCAATCACCATTAGGTTTCACGCAGCAAATCTACAGTACCTAATGTTTCTTTAGGTTTAATTTCTTTGGAGCTAAAAGTGTTGATAAAATAATTGTCGGTGAGGTAAAGGTGACCTTATTCTCATATCTAGATAGCTTGGAGTTCATGGTAATAGAATGCTAAGAAACATCTCGAGTTACTGGTAGATATTTGAAAAAACGGACTCGAGTGCAAAGGGTTAACTAGGCCTAATCCAGGCCTGAGACTGGGTTAGGTCTGAATGATATATCGAGTCAAATGTTAATTCAATGCACTGTGGACCGTCTCGTAGTCCACCGATCAAATTGTTAACCCTTTGCGCTCGAGAGGTAACTCTCAGTTACCATTAGGTTTCACGCAGCAAATCTACAATACCTAATGTACAATACCTTTCTTTAGGTTTAATTTCTTCTGGAGCTCGAAGTGTCGATAAAATGATTGTAGGTGAGGTAAAGGTGACCTTATTGTCAAATCTAGATAGCTTTGAATCCATGGCAATAGAATGCTAAGAAACATCTCGAGTTGCTGGTAGATACTAGAAAAAAAGGCCTCGAGTGCAAAGGGTTACATTATTAGGTGGACTGGAAAGTAATGTCGTTTTTGCCATCTTAAATACTTGTTTATCATTTATCAGCTCATTGATTTTTCTGGCATTGAAAATTTACACACTAGGTGACAAAAGGCTGCTGACAATGAGGACGATTATATAATGAATTAAAGATAGAAATTTATCGGAAAGTTTGAATTTAATGTAAACGAAACGACATTACTTTTCGCTCTACCTAATAGTATTAGGGCAAAATAAATTGTAGATATTAGTTGCTTCATCCCTGGAACTATATTAACAAATTTAAATTGTAGGTAATAATTCCTGTTTGCTTTTTAGTTTTACAGACCCTGGCCATCGAATTAGGACCACGCACGAAAATTTCACTTTTACGCGTATTCAGGTGGCCTAACAGTATGTTGTATATGGAAAATTATCTTAGGTCATTCAAATTATTACTAAATACGTTGATAATGATGTATGTATAACAATTTATTTGTTACTATACCAGTAAAAAAATTGGTAGATACGAGAAAAAAATGCCTCGAATGCAGAGGGTTAATAGCGTTGCTGTGGTACTGGCTCGTTTTTTGAGATAATCTACGTTGGAGGTAGTTGATACAGAGTTACAGACTCGCCCTTGCTGCTGATTATATTTCTTTAATGAGAAAACGCACTAGGTTGAACAACATCTCAATGTTTCTTACTCGTTGTCTTCTTTGTTCAGTTACCAAGAAAAATTCTCTACTTCTGTTTCGCTTATTGATAGTCGATGGTGAAGATTTTTTAACTTTGTGCGAGGTACTCCTGTACTTTTTAGTAATATCTGTTAGCAATAACGTTTTATCGTTGACTAACTAAACTAACGTTTAAGCATCCCATGCGTTTAAACATCGAGAAAAAGTTCTCGACCATCCCTCGGTTAATGATATATACGTACAACTGGTAGTAACAAATTTCGATCATTATATCAAACGCTACTCTACGACAGGTTTCAGTATAGATTTAATTGGAATTTTTTCGTTCGGTCGCAAGATTCTTCATCTTTGCCTTGCAAATTGTTATATGAATGCTGGTCCTTTTTCTTGAACATTATGCGAGCCACTACGTTGTAACAGATTTCAGTGTTTACTGTACACGGTTCGAACGATTCAGTGTTGGACATAATCGTAATCATAATTACGATTACAATTGTAATCAAATGTTTCAGAGTTATGATTACGATTACGATTACAATCGTAATCACAAATTTGATTACATTCTGCGATTACAATCGTATTCGCAAATTTGTCTACGATTACGATCGTATTTTCAGGTGTTTTCGGACATAGAAATTTTTTGCCTCGAAACCGACTTCAGATTCGTGTCTCTCAGCCTCATAAAACTTCGAGAACCATGTTTTCGTCAAAATCAAAAATTTTAAAAAGATACCACCCTATGTAGGTCTTACCTCATTGGCATGAATTATTTTAACTGAAAATTTTTTATTTTTATTCGCAATTTTACGATTGTAATCGCAACTCTGAAACATTTGATTACAATCGTAATCGTAATTATGATTGCAATTGTGCCCAACACTGGATCGATTTCATACTTATGTCACATATATTGACGATTGCTGAGATTTTGGAACATTAAATAACATATTACCGTGTACAATGGATATCAAAAATTCTCTTCCAGTGCCTCGCTTAATGATAACCGACAACTCCTCAACTTTCCTCCATTTCACTACCACTGTACAACAAATTTTCTCATAAACCATATTTTCAGGGCCGCCACGTGGGTAAGAGGCGCCTTTATGCAAGAAAAATTTAGCGCCCTTTTCCGTGATACATGATTGGTAAATTACAACAAATATACATTATACATTATATAATTATTTACGTATTAACCCTCCTAGCTTTGGCTGCCACGAAATTTTTTCAAATTGTTACATGAATGCTGGTTCTTTTTCTTGAACATTATGCGAGCCACTACTTTGTAACAGATTGTAGAGTGTATTGTACATGATTAGATCGATTTCATATTTATGTCACATATACTGATAATTGCTAGTTGAGATTTTGAAACACTAAATAACATATTACCGTGTATAATGAATATCAAAAATTCTCTACCAGTGCCTCACTTAATGGTAACTGACAACCCCCTAACTTTCGACCATTTTACTACCACTGTGAAACAAATTTCCTTATAAACCATATTTCTTCAGCTTCCAATCTATACCAAAAATCCTCCACCTGTACCTCACATATCGTTGTTTCGTGGTCCCGATTTTTGAACCCTACGCGAGGCTGTGCTGCGTATAGAAAGGAGCACGGGGAAAGACACGCGTCGTGACGACATGTGGGATGTGCTACAATCACCTTTCACCGTGTCTGCTTTCACCGCGTAGACAAGAGCCAGAGACAGAGGGGTCGGGATAGGAGTGAGGGGGGGGGGGCAAGGGAGGTATATGCCTGGTAGTTACGTGTATGCAAGCGTCGAGTAACTTCGAAAGTCACTCCGCGAAAGGCACCGCGCGTGCAGACCGCGAGAAACGAACGTGATCATCTTTTTTCCCCTGTTCTTTTCTCTCCCTGCTGTGTACCCTCCTCTCCTCGTGCTCCCATCGCCCCTCCCCCACTTCGTCCCTGTCCCCTCGATCCTATGTCCGACGCGAGAGAACCGAGGCGTTTCTTACCCGCTTTAATACGCGGGCGTGCTCCGTCTGTACACAATATGGAAAAAGACTCTCTCTTTCTCCTCGACGTGCGCGAGGAAAATGTCCTGTTCCCTGCATGATACCTCGTGGATCCATGGATCAGATCGCAAGTTCAGTTTTGTCGTCGTTCTAGTTGAAGGAATCGATCAGTCTCGAGAAATCTATATCTTCTGTTGTTCGAAAATTACGATCTGCTGTAATTACGATTACGTTCTGCTGTAATCTCATGTTTTGTGATAATCGAGATGATAGTAACTCGAGGATGAATGATTGGGGACGTTCGAATTAATTTTTGTACTCTAAGTACGCGTCCATGTGTGTATTAAATATGAGGTTCGTGGGCTTTTTTCGAGAAAAAAGAATGACCCCCAGTGCCACCTAGGAGGGTCTAACACAAACGAAACCAATTCGGAGCACCACACGAACATATGGTGTGAATATAAGGTGGTTAGCTTCAGTAGTTCAGGACGTGATGGTCAGACGTGATGGTTAGACATGCATACGCAACAACGTTTTTATATATTAACCCTTTGCACTCGAAGCCTTTTATTCTGGTATCTACCAGTAAATTGAGATGCATTCCATTGCCACGAATGCTAAGATTATATTGACTTCTCGAATGAGATCTCTAATTTGAGAGTTGAGAATCAGGTCATCTTTGCCTCGCCGACAATCATTTTATTGTCACTTTGAGTTCCAAAGAAATTAAACCTAAAGAAAACCTAGTGCTGACTGAAAGTCACCTCTCGAGAGCAAAGGGTTAATATTCAAAAGAAAGCCTAGAGTTGTGGGGTGCCACCCCCTCTAGGATGTATGCATTTAGGAGAGTAAAAACCAGATCCACTTTTGTAAGTGTTTTAGAACCAAACAATTACATTTAGAAATTCAGGATATCGGTCATTTATAAATACGTCTTTCAGAAGGAATTCGACATCTCGTTTTTTGGAAAATATTCACAAATGGTCGAGATATAACCCCACATATACCGTATGGCTTCTCTGTAACAGTTCGTGGTACCAAGCGGTATCTTCCACAATATTCAACCAAAATCGGAAACCATAGACACACTTCGAAGTACAAGAGCAAATCTAGTTCTCGCGATCATTTTTAAAGAAATTGAATTCCAACTGAACTGAATCTAAAAAAATACCAATTTACCCACCTGAGATCTCTGCATCTTCCTTAACTCTTTATCTGCCGGGCTATTTAGAAGCAGTCTTTAATTCAAAAAAGAATTTTCTACAGCAGTATGTGCCAATCTAAACCGAAAATAATTCCTCCGTAGTGTTACTGGGTACATTGAAAGCCAAGTCTGTCTACAAACACTGAACATTGTAAGTAGACACAGACACAGTAAATAAATTCGAAAAGCTAAATACTGAAATTAAAAAGCTTATAAATAGGCACATGGTAAATAAAGTGTTAACTCTTCAAATATTCCACAAAATTTCCAAATGTCCATCTTTCAGAATCATACACAAGAAAGAAATCGACTTTTTCTCATCCCCATAGTTTCCCCCGGCCCCACTCGCTAGAAAACATCCTCTTCGCCATCGAACTCAGCCACGAGCGAAAAACTACCCCCAGACACGAGAGCAAACACGATCAGCGCGAAACTAACGTCGGGTTTCCTTTTCGGATAAATTTAGGTCCCGTAAAATGCCTAATCCGCGTGCCTTTAATCATGTAATTCAAGCACGGTGAAAACGTGGACGACGCCGGGCAGCAAAGGTGGATATCTCTCCTCCCTGCTGGCTCTACGTCACGCGTACGGTTTTCCAGTTTTTGGCGAGTAGTCGTCCCCGATGGAGACGGGGCAAAAAACAGAGAGAGTCACGGGAGAGAGAGGGATGAACAGAAATTTCAAACCTGGGGTGACAGAGAGGGGACGAGGGATAGTACGCTTGCAAGCGTAACCCGGTCAGAGCGAGGGAGAGAAACCGACGGTTGCCTGGACGAGGACGAACAGTCACCGGAGAACCATGACTGTATCCGTCCATGTGTACGTGTGTGTGTGTGTGTGTGTTTGTGCGTGGAAACGTGTTTTCATATAGAGGTCTGCTGGTGTTGGGGAAACTTCAGTGGTACCTTCATACACGCTCTCGCGTAGCTTTATCGCGCTCGCGCGCGCATGTATGTGCCTGCATTGATGGCCCCGACGCGATGGTGAGCCAGTCTCGTTTCAGTGTGGCTGCAAAAACTTGTCTATACACGTACCGTGATACTGGCGTGAACACACACGCAGGCGCGCTGTGTGTACGTGTACACGTACACGCGAGGCTAGATAGGATTTTCAGCTTGTAGCTGTGCTAGCAGCACACCCCGATGGATTCGCGTATGGACGCGAAACGCGAGGCTGACTTGCACTCTCGTCTCGAAACATGTGCGCATCGAGTTGTAGTTGTAATCAGAGGTGGCCAAAATTTCTGTCTGGATATGGAATTTTGGGTAACGAATGAAAGATACAGATCCGTTATCGTAAAGTATAGTCCGAGTTGTGTAGGGTAGCACTCGATGGAATATATTTTGAGGGGGTAGTTCGTTCTTTACGGATGCAGGTTTGCGATAAAATACAGACTAAGGTTCGTAGAGTACCATGGACATCGTGGTAGATATTTTAGATATTAGTTAATCGTTTGACAACGAGACAAGTTCGTATAAATGAATGTCCTATTCGACCTTTCGCCTTCCATGGCTTATCCTCTCCTCCCTCCCCTCAACTGTTTACAAACAATGTTTGCCAACCGTCACACCACTCCCTAAATTCTATCGAAACGCTCCACGAGTCGGCTCGCCTCCTTTCCCCAAGGTCATGCAAACAAAACACTGAAAACAAGGTCGAATAGGTCACACGCTTGCATAAACATCCCTCTCCTACAGTTAAACATCCTCTACAATCCTTAATGCGACCCCACGGTTGTATTAATGAAAAGCCCATCTCCGGTTGCTCTTTCATCGAATAAACGCTGCGAATAAATCGCCGTGGGGTGGGTTTTATTCGTCGTCTATTATTCGAATAAAATTCTGCGCGTCTCTGGCCTCGACGCTTGCTCGAGAACGTCGGGCTGTCCGTGTGTTCGTGCGGGTGAGTTAGAATTCGACGGAGGGTGGGTCGAACTCACGTAAAGCTCTCTCGCACGCGCAAGCCCGCCAGCGCAGACGATGGTTCTACGTACAGGGGCGCAGAGGGGCGGGGGGTGGGTGGTACCGAGGGAACCGGAGTAGAACCAAACCGAAGTGGAACGAGGGGAAACGGGCGGCGGAGGAACGAGGGGAAGTAGAACCGACAGGAAGGGGGTGGCTCGGTTCTCAACTCGACAGCCAGCGGGGCGATAGTGGGGGTTGCGGCACGCTACCTCCGGGGGTGGTGGTGGTCGACGACGAACGAACGAACACCGATGACTTATTAGCAGAGTGCAAGTTGGCCGCGTGTTTGTGAACTTTCGAATAAATGTACGTACGCGGCGCTGCCTCTGCCTCCAGCTCGAACGGCAGAGAAAGAAGGGGATGCGACTGGTAGCGCTGTATTCTCCCTCGTTTTTTCCACCCCCGTCCCCGTATCCCCGTCCTTCTTTCTACGTCGTCCTCCGCGTCTCCTCGGACCACCGAGAGGAAACTCCGACGATCACGCGCATCGCTGCGTTTTTTCTCTTTCCTTTCTACATCCCCTTTGTCTCTTTCCTCCCCTCTGTGTCGTCGATGGTCCTATGTGGGTTCACGGACGAAATTCTGTGTACGTTTTATACTCGCGACCGATCAACCCTCTGTGGGTGCGTGTACGTTCGCTCCGGCCCGATGCGAGAATTGTTATTAACCGTTGAATGACTTCGTTAACGGTTGACTTCAGGGAGTGGATAGGTATTTTTTGAATCGAACGTAGGAGAATTGGGTGTATTTGTTGTATTTGGGAAAGAAGGGTATTGCTGGGGGAGGTTTTATTTGTTGGGGTCTTCTGGGCGTGCTGTAGGAGTAACCCTAAGATGAAGATCACGGAGTTCGACTTGTGGGGTCGCTCGAGATTCTTCTTGGACTTGATGTTTGTCAAATTGGATGCATTGGTAGTGTTTATGGTAGGGTAATATTGGTAGCGAAGGACTTATTTATTAGACCTTTCGGAGTATGCATTACTCTGTAATGCATGTAAACTCAAAATGTCTTTTACAGGATTTTATTTCTGAGGTCACCTGTCAATATTTATGAAGATAAATTTTGAGGCTTTAAGTACATGGATTTTCAGTGAATATAGAAGACAAATAGGGTTTCCACCTTAGATTATTTTCTATATAATGGTTTTGGGTCGATTGAGACCCGCCCCCCCCCCAT